TGGGACACTGATACCAATAATTGCTCCCATGGAGGATGAAACTATTTATGTTTGCAGGAAAGGTTTCCATGCCATAAATGTACAAGCAGTGGTCAATGCTGATTTAAGGTATTAAATATCATTTATAGTACATACAAATAAGTTAATAAAATACTGATTTTTGTATTTGGAACTTGTAATTTCTTATGAAAGTAATTAAATTTCAAATGATAACTTACAGTAAAAAAACTAATTCATTAACAATATCGCATTCACACTCACATATAAATATATAAATATTAATAAATAAAAAGAGAATTTATGGTATGAAAATTTTTTTCAGATGCATCTTCTCTATTGTATGTGAAATGGTAATTATCATATATATATATATATATATATATATATATATATATATATATATATATATATATATATATATATATATATATATATATATATATATATATATATATATATATATATATATATATATATCTTCTTCTTCTTCAGATTTATCAACTTAGTCTGTAAATGGCCAGGATCAGTTCATGATTCATTTATGCTGAAGAATTCAGGTTTGCATGAGCAATAGGATAACCATGGAAACGGGTGGCTTGTCGGTGACTCAGGGTACCCTCTAATGCCCTGGCTAATGATTCCAATTATCCGACCTAATACAGTGGCAGAAGAAAGGTATAATGATGCCCACTCAAAAACAAGAGTTACAGTGGAGAGGGCATTTAGAGTGTGCAAATCAAGATTTATGTATAGTTATATGTGTTCTCCAATAGTTTTAATGGCTGTTTTAAAATATCTGAAATAATACACCCATCTGCAGAAAGATTGCACAGAATTAAATTTTGATGATGAAATCTTAATGAAAACTAAATTTTGTTGAAATAAAACACTTATAATCAAAGAAATTAGATTAAATTTAGAAACAGAATACAAGAGGGACATACTGTCCGGGTTCATAACTCCTGTAAATGCCATTGAATGCCAGAATATAAAGTGAAATAAGTAAAGAAATGTGCACATACATGTATTGAATTTCAACAAAATGTTGGAAAAGTTATGCTGCAGAAACTGTCATCAGCTAAATCTCCTATAAATGAGGTTATATAATGTTTCTATCAGTAGAATTATATATATATATATATATATATATATATATATATATATATATATATATATATATATATATATATATATATATATATATATATTTGATGTCCTAATATTTATTTTGCCTAATTATTTCAAGCATATTATAATTTTAAATTATACTTTTTTAAAAAATTACAACAGTAACTAATTCTGACTGAATCGTATCAATGGAAAATTGGGTTTATCATTATTTATTATAGATGTCAAGTTTTGTTTTATTTCATTTATAGGTGTATCCATAAAACAGGTGGACATCTGCCATTTCAGCCCCCAAAGTGTGTGAAGATTATAACAGCTGTATTTAAATTGCATAATTTGGTCATTGATGAAAAATTACCATTAGGTTATGACATTGATGACAATGAAGAGAATGATAATGATGTGGTATTTAATGACCTTGTCAGTGAAAGTGGAAACATTATCAGACAAAAGCTATTATTACGATTTTGAAAAATATTTTCTATACTGTGAAGAATCTGCGATCAGTATTATGTAAAACGGTGATAACGTCATTGTAATATTTGTATGATTCTTGTGGTTTAATGCTGATAAGCATATGTACATTTCACCAAATTAATGATTTTCCAAATAATTACTTCAATATTCTCTACATAGAAAGAATTTATTAACTTAACATGTTTTAAGCATTCATTAAGTTTATAACTGGTGACATAGATAAGTATGACATTGTGTCATATTTTCTCTTCTTCAACTGGTACATTTTCTCCATACTTTCCAGTTTTCTTTTTTTTAACTTCAACTTCTCCTCTTCTATTTCTATTAATCTTCTATGGCATGTACAACTTGTCTGGTTATCTAGACATGGAAATAAATAAGTTAATAATGATTATTATTGTAAACATAGATGAGAAAACGTTTAATTGGATATCTTTCTCCTTTTGTACATTTTGATGTAATATATAATTATATGGTTAATTTATTTCATAATGACATATATATTGATGTACAATCCCCATTGTAATTGTTTTTATTGTCACTGAAGAAAATAATTTTTATGCATAAATCCTGCTATGATAGTGACAATTTTGAACACAGAAATTATTGACTGATGCTTCCTTTCATAGAAATTTTGGACTGATGCTTTCTTTTAATTTGTTTACCCTCATAAATGTTATGTATGTAAATCAAACAATAATTATACGCACTTGACAATATGTTCTTCAAAGCATGCCTATTACTTTTGGTTTTATTTGGTTTTCCTGAAAAGCAATAGATCATGAATATAACTGCTTTTAAAATAGACTATAATAACAGGCAAATTGTACCTTTGTTCTACATAATGTGAGATTATTACTGCCATTATTATTCATGTTGAGAAATGCACACATTATACCACCGTTGGATAGTACTACTGAGATTCTTGATCATCGACGTATTTTTTTGTTGTTGCAGCATCATTATCTGTGGTTGGATTTCCAAGATCTGTAATTTTATTTCTGTTCATAATAATATTTCCACTAAATGAATCGCCAGCCTTCCTGACATAATCGTTAACTGACTTACCGGAATCTTGTATTTTGCCCTGATCAGTAAAAGTAACGATATTATCAGCAATTGCAGTAGGAATTCGTATAAGTACATCTGGCAGTTGTATATTACTCGTCTTTTCTCGTCCTTCTTTGTCCTGAAAAACAACGATTTTATTAAGATATTATTCAGATATATAACCATTTATATGTATGAACGGATTAAAATATATCACTGTTTGTATAAATGAAAGAAAATAATGTAAAATTACAAGCATGAAGACGGAAATAACTGCTGTGGACAAATCCATGGACAATCGGTAAAAACATGCGCTAGTGCACAAGCTGTTCTGTCTGAAAGCCTAAATGTATATGCCTAATGAGGGGGTGCAATTCCTTCTTTAGCCCTGCTAAATGTAACATATGCTTCTTATGACCCTTAAGTTTGGAGTACTCAGAGGCATATAGATATGTGAGGATCCAAATAGACTGAATAATCGCGCTATCAAGTTATGTTTAATCAAATTTAAAAAACACCTCCATCCCACCCCCAAAAAAACTACTCCCGTTACTGAAATAGTTGACATTGAACGTTGTTACGTGGTGTGGTTGTGATTATCGTTATCTTGAGTATTATCGACAACATTGTTATTACCCAGATTGAGTACATAATAAAATTTATTATGATATTAATGGTGGAATAATCAGAGACCTGAGCAGAGATATAGAATGGAACAACTCGAGCCGTCGTATGTAGAATATAAGTTGAATCAATTGTAAAAATAATATAAAATTGAACATGACATTTTAATGGTACACTTTCTCGTAAAAATAACATGACTAAATATATTTTTTTAAAAATCCAATTAGCCGTTATGTTTATATCGATAAGATAAGTACAATATTTTGCTAACTAACAGTTGATTGGCATAATATTTCCAGGCATAGTGACCTAATATCAACTGTAATATCAGGTACGGTAACTGAGTCGATGTTCTTTAACGCAAGAGAGACCTGAGCAGAGATTTAGAATAACGTATCAGGTGGCGTAATCAAATATCGATAATAAGGAACGATTTCCGCACTTTGATGCAGGCTTTTATCGGACCTGACAGATCCAGTGGCACACCCGAGAAGGGTTCATCAATCAGTGAGGTGGTTTATGAAGGCACTGGATGATGGGTGGTCTTAGGTGCCACCCGCTGATACTTGTGACACATCAAGCAAAACCACCTATCCTCATGCTCACCAGCCTATATCTGGTCTTCGCCACGCACATGTGGCTTCAAAGTAAACCCTTATGTTCCAGACTATCACTTCTGACTTGTTTGAACGTATCTGGCCCTTTTCCCTGGCGTACTGGTAGTACCAAATATTTCATTCAAACGCGAACTCCAGCTAGCCGTCTGACAATTTCCTTACGACCCGTCCTTTGCATATCTGGGTAACTTGTTGAGAGAAACATTTCCTATTGAAGTTTTCCCAACTCACCAGGTAGCAAACTGCCTATGAGCAAAGTTGTGAGTCTCAGCGGCTTTGGCACTGACTTTCTATTCACAACCCTCATCTCAACACACCCCACGAGCACATATGATCTGGCTGTCGAAACACATACACATACTCTAGAGTCACGTCTTGAGACAATTCCATCAAATTTGCTTCTTCGATTCGCCCTTTCATATACGGCGAATCTTGATCAATGTTCGCGCCCGGGAGTGAATCTTTAGTCCTATTAGCAAACTGGACTTCGGCCGTCTCGCCTGTATAATCCTCAGGCTAGACATACTTACTACCAAGGTCAAGTAACTACAACCGGTATAATACTGCACGGTTGCCATCTCACCATTTACCGATGCTACTGTGGTATTCGTCAACTTCACTGTTTCTTCGAAGGTTGACAAATCACGCCTCGCTAAGTACACAATTAATTCTTTCCGATACGTACTTAAATACTTTAAAGATCGCTTAGCCTATGCTGTCATTTTTAATCCACCTATCAAAAGTACCCGCCTGAAATTGCACCTGCGTTTCGGTGGTTCTTTTCAACGACTCTTTCAAGAATTTTCGGAAACTTTCAGCCGACATCTCATATTACCGTAGCAGTGCTTTCTTCAGGGCGTCGTAGTCGTCCACATTGTTCGATGTCATATTACGTTAGATATCTTAAGCGACTCCCTGTCAGAATGCTGACATGCTGAAAACCAATTTGTCTTTGGGTATCTGATGAACCAGTGCCAACTTTTCGAACTGTGTCAAAATATTATCAGTGATTTCGTACTTGTCGTTGAACAAAGGCATGGTAATCTGTCTTCAGATCGCCTGTTTGTGGGTCCTGCATGTTCATTTAGGTCTTCACCCATTCTGGACTCGACTTCGATCCGAGTGGTTAGAGCTTCCGCCTCGGACGTGGGAGGTCGTGGGTTTGATCTCCGGTCGAGTCATACCAAAGACTTACAAAAATGGTACTAACAGCTGCCTCGCTTGGCGCTAAGCATTAAGAGGTTAGTGTTAGGACTGGTAGGCTTGGTGTCAGCATAATGTGACTGAGTGGGACATCATGCTACATATCGGCGGTATGATGCCCCAGTGCTAGACATCACTATAAACTGCCACACTGCAGACATCATAGCGATATAACTGAGAAATTGTTAAAAGCTACGTCAAAAATCTGAATCACACACACACACACACACACACACACACACACACACACACACACACACACACACACTCAATCCGAGTCCCTCTTTGACTTGATAGGATTCGTTAAGTAAAAACACTTGATTCCAGAATGCTGAGATCGTATCAGTCATTTAGGAAAAAAAATCACTCATTCAATAAAGAAAAGCATACCATTCGAGTGAGGATTTTCGATTGAGTTTATTTCGTAAATCAATTTGTGAAATGGTTAGCTATAAAAGATGATGCATTCGCGACAACTAGAGAAACTTGTGGGGGTTTTTTTTCATCAGTGTTTAAAAATATTTTTTTACGAAATTATTTCCTGTGAACAATCACAAATAGCAAGGATTAAAAATTTTAATAAAATTGTATTCTTTATTTTTTTGAAAGTGCAAAAACAATTTTAGTAAAGGAGTTTAAGTTGGGAAAACCTGTAAATGACATTAAGAACTTTGTATTCCTTATCTTGTTTATATTAAGCTTAATCAAAAGCTCATCACTTGGCTATGACAAAAATTACAAACATATCCTGATCAGCCTTAAATTACTCCTATTCAGTAATGCATCCTGTTTTTATATTCATCACTGTGAACGCAACTAGACTATGCATATACACGTCCCTACGGACATATAAAGACAACGGCAAGTAGGATTGTTATTTAAACAAAAAAAAAACAGTTCTATATCATTGTTCTATATAAACTATCAGCAAGTTGGAAACGAAACGAGTGTATTAAATGCCAATAAAATGGTTAATACCATTGTATCCATACCATCTATGGCACTAAAATGTCGCGATATTAAACAAATGGCACACGAAGCATCGTGTACTCACTGATTTAACCCATCAACGCACAACTTCTCCCATCAACTCCTTCCAAACTAAAATAACTTAAAGAATGTAACACTTGCGGCGTAATATCTGAATGTAGGCTTATTTGACCATTCAAATTTAAAATGCAAAGGTCTCTCCTTATAAATGTGTATCCCCCACTTCCAAAATAATTCCTCCAAACATTCGTTTTTATTCTTAGATTCTGATAGACAGATATGTAGATATAATCATTTTCTGCTTTTATAATCCACTTTGCGCAATAGCAAGCTTATATAATTGACGTGGGTTATATGTGTATGTATTTCTCAATGTCCAATCAACACCTGGTTTGGTTGGGCAGCTATTTTGAATTACAGGCTTTTTGGCCAGGAAGCCATTCTAAAATGGACAGCTTCCTGGCAAAACTTGTGTTCGGTTATCTGGTATTGGAAGGGTACTATTTGCTGCGGTGTATACAAGATAAGAACTTATTTGTTAGCGTCATGAATGTATAACTTACATGTCAGTAAAACAAGCGAGACATCTGGCGTCTCATGCATATTGCATATGTGTTCTGGTTGGTTGATTGTGCTACTACCCCCTCCCATCACGAGGGCATCAACAGGTTTTTTTTATCAAATTTGGCATGTGGGTTTCTATTAAATAGATTTTGTTCAAATTAAACCACCAGCATTATTGGGGCATATGCACACTCTTCCCTCCCTAAGGAACACCACAAAAAAAAAAACAACCACGTGTTGTTTCACAACAGACCATATAACTAAAATGTACCGCAAAGTAGTAAGTTTTAAAACTTTGTTGAAAGATTTGTAATTTTGTTCTCTTTAAACTTTTTAAACATTTATCTGTTCAGTAAGAGATTAAAAAAAAACAGCATTGCTTGCTACATATGTGATCTGTGGTATCAGACGCAATGTGCAGAAGTGTTCACATCGCACAATTATGAATTTATGAATTTTTCACTGGAAAATTTAATTATGACCCCTTGACATATTCAAAATGCTCCCTGCCAAACTTCACAAAAGGACTTCGGATTACTAACAATTTCGTCACTAGTGGAGTTTACTCTACATTGTTTAACTACGTTTCACATTACTGATCATAGGAGTTATTCCCCCTTACGGATTTCCATAACACACAGAATACAAACGAAAACACAAGCACGAATGCAGATTCAAGCCTATGTTCAGAACTCGTATCTTCGTTAAGTCAAACACAAGACGCCCGATATATAAACGCCCGATATATAAATAGTTTAAGGTATAAATATAACGATGATGTATCTATCCTACAAGCAGGGTAGACCAACATGTAGATCTCTGCGGGTTTTTTCCTTCTGAAATACTGCTACCAATAATGTCAGAAAAAAGTGGAGATCTACTTGTTGGTCTAACAGGAAGCGGAAAAGTGCTGTGGAAATGGGGTTCTATTATTTATTTTGGGCTTTCTTTTATTTGCGCTCGCTATTTTCCTTTTTCCCTCCCGCATCTGAGTAGCAAGCGACCCTCACTTCTTTATTGCGTTCTAACATTTCTTTTAATTAGCATTAGACCACTACCTGCCGGACACACGGTACTAATTGTATGTTACCATGGGAAACAGGCTGGATATGGATGTGCATTAAATAGAGTATTGGCTACAGTACAGAGGGTTTGGCTTGCCAGGATTGGTTAATAATAATAATGTAAGTTATGTTTTAGAAAAAAAGAATCTTTTGTGAGCTTAACCTTGTAGTAAGTGAAAAAATTAGAGACATTGTTTTATTGTTGGAATTTTTGTCCTTTAACAGACTTGAGTTTGGAACACTCATTACTAAAATTAGCACCTGACTCTTTGGTGTGGAATTTAAAGCACATGTTTCAAACACATGCAGGTCCAGAAATGCCACGGCTCATATTCTTTTCTCTACACAGAAAATGATATCCAGGTTTCATCTCTACTGATAAATATATGTTTGACCATGAGCACTCAAATATTTAAGTTATTGATGTTGTTGTTGTTGGACTTAACGCCGTTTTTCAGCACACGATAGACTATTCATGGCGCCCAGTATTAATGGTGGAGGAAGACACCGGGAAATCACCGGAAAGAACCACAGACCCACGAGAAGCTACTGGCAAACTTTCTTACATATTCACATTCGCCGAATCCTAGACTCGAACCCACGCAGACAGAGGTGAGATGGCAGTGATCCGTAACGGACAGCGCTTTAGACCACTAGGCTACTCGGGGCCCCTTTAAGTTATTGAACTTTTAATATCGTGGTTTTTGCATAGGTTTACTATGGGAACTGAATTACTAATTACTACCGTGAGTCCTGCAGCACAAACTGGTATATTTTTGTGTTATCAGAGACTAAAACTGACACTTCTTAAGCTTAGATTTAAGGTCAAAGACTACAATCTTGAAAGGAAAGACATCCATTGAAATAGAGGAGGTATACTTGTTTACTATGGATCTGACCTCGCTTTCCGGCGAATTCAAAGCTTAAACTGTAACCAAACTTAAAGGTCACGGGCCATACCCTATCATTTTTATCTTTACATCATATTTGCATGATTAAAAGTAGTTATACTCGCACAAAAAAAATTAAAAAAGTCTAAAGAAGAAACAATAAATTAAATACTCGAAATAGAAGTATACAACGCTGTTACTTCGACTTGGCTATGATTTTCCACGTATAGAGGACGCCAACTGGAAATGACTTACATTTATCCCTACAAGACAAGTTACATGATTCTTGTGTCGAAATATAAAACACTATAAACTTTAGATAGGGAACATTAAGATGAAACTATGGAAAACTAATTTACTGTTCAGCCTTATTTCGATACGATCACGACGCACTAGATTGTTCCGCTTTCAAAACAGTTCCATTGTTTCAACTTTTTTTTAAAATCCCGTTAATATTTATAAAGATTAATCAATGTTGGCTTCCCTATATCGACCGACTTTGTAACAAAAAAAAAATTGGCACGTTTAATAGAATCCAAAGTCAGTTTGCGTGGTTGGCTTGTTTATAATAAAATAACCTTTGTATCCTGCAGGTAAGTTTAAGCAGTGCGTTTATTGCTCACTTCCGGTTGTATTTATTCATCACCCAGGCTTCTAATTGTTTTTTTTTATATGTAATTATAATTAATACAAATTGGCATTGATTTTTACAGGGTAGATATTAAACAAAGCAATAACTTGCTTTTAATAATACTTTTGTAATCCATGCTTGCGCAAAGATTATCATTTTTACTCACAGTGAATGTATTTTCAAATAATAATTTTTATTTGCGAGATACTGTCGTATAGTTAACATGGATACAATACAGTCTTGGTCATTTTGCACCTTATAGCGTAGCATGCGTGAATGACATGTGTATTAAAGCATTCTAGAGATATTCCCATCTCTTTTGAGAGTTTGTTATCTGACATTTGTCATGCCTTTGAAAAAGACTCTTCAAGAGTCGAAAGCGCTCAGGATAGTTAGATACTAGATTTGCACTGTTCGTCATCAGTTTATTGCATCTATCCCAATCAATCACTGACACACGTAATCCCTTGCTGGATCCAGTGCGCTTGAAAGGGCTGTTGTTCGTCATATGTTTTGTATTATATAACTGATTCTACGGGCTTGTACATCTATAAATGTTAACGTCCTAGATTGATCCCTCATATTTCTTTTATAAACCCTATTATAATAATGCTGAATAAAGAGTTTGATCAAAGTCTACACTCTGCACGTTCAAAAAGTATTATGATTATTATAAACATAAATATTTTTCATCTGCAGTAACATTACTGTACTGTAATCTTTATTGGATATATTTTACTTACGCATATGCACCATAAAGCTTTCTACGGGATTTGGGAGGTCCAAACTTCTAGAATGAAGAAAAGCTTCTTTTTTTCTTATATTTGACAGTCTCTGGG